CTCTAAGCATAAGTCTGCTAAGAGCTCAAACACTGCCAGGTGAGTATATTCACAGTAATATTTACAATATTCATCTTTCGTATACTGTGTCACAAAAAAAAACTCTTTCAAAATACTGTTGACGTTTTTAACGATGCATATCTATCAATTTGATTCGATTTCTTTTAGAATCACAAATTTCTAAGCCTAAGATCAGATGTTTTCATTATCAGGGCACAAACATGTTTATCGCTTTATGCACAAATATTTAAATGTCCGAAGACACGAAATTTGTACACAATAAGTATGCAACGGTTTAGGTATGAATATACCTCATGTCGTTCAAACCACTCGAAAATCAATGATTAGTCGCAATTCTTCTGCGCAAACCTTTTTTTTTATATATCAGTGCATGAATATTTTAAAACTTAGAAAAATGCTAGATTTTAACCGAAATAATATTCCGTAATCAATGTGTGTGCACTCAAACAGTCTGTACCAGTCACATTGGCTATTGACCCCTAGTTTTCAAGTTTCAGCATATTCATAACTAATTTGGTTCTACTTGTTGCATATAGTCTCGACTCAAAGATGATTTTTAAGTTAGAGAACTGTCCTTGTTAGTATAACTGTTGCACTAATTCAGTTTAGTAGTTTCTTAGATTTAACTTAAAGCAGTGTCGACTTCTGTCGAATAATGATACAGTTAATCAAATTTTTTTCGTTATTAATCAAGTATACTTTTATTTAAATGACTATTTTTCTATTTGTTTTTCAATTTGTTTGGAAAGAAAAAGTTGAAGCATTAAATTCATTCAAGATTGTTGGCAGTATTGAACTTCAAGAAACATCAAATAAAGAATTAATTATTTCATCCATTTCATTCTTTTCTTTAATGAGGACTTGTTTCGATTTTAGCCAAAATAATGGATTATACTATTGGTGAAATGGAAACCTTAAGATCAGGAAATGAACAAAAAATAGCTGAAATTCAACGTATTAATAGTCAATTAAATAAAGCTCTTGAAGTAAA